GAGAAGTTGTGTTTGTAAATAAGCCTCCATGTTGTAAGCACTTGTTGATGAAATTTAGAGAGTTTGATTGGGAGTTTTTCAATTTTGTAATTACACATTATGGACACTCATTAGCTGCTAAGCCTTGTCTGCGCGCTCTGTTTTTTGGAACTCTGTGTTGAAAGTGTTTGCTGAAGATCCCTCTGACTTTCAGGTCAGGTTTATTTTTACTATAGTGTACATTTTGCCTTTATGTCAAGTTTTTGTAGAGCTGTTTTTGACTTCAAATTCTTGATGTCTAATTTTGATGTTCCTTCCCAAAAGACTAAGTAATGCAGCATCTGAGCAGAGCTCATTAATATTCATGACCCTTCCAAATAAGGTAAAACAGATGATGAATACTATAGGGTGATTTCCTGTGGATGACAATGGCATATTAAGCCACATTCTGCATCTTCTTGGTAGATTTCAGAGCATAATGTATTATTATATTGTCAGCAAAGATTATTTTAATGTTAACGAAACTACTAATCAGTGATTGAACCTGCTAGCTATAATAACCTTAATATTTATAAAAGGTGATACAGATGGTCAGCTGTGAAGATATCTTCATGCCATAATACCTTGTCTTACTGTGTGCCTGTTTGGTCACTCACAACAAATGATATCTTGGAGCCAATAGCTAGACTGTACAATAGGGCTTATAAGATCCACAATAGACTTTCTGGATGAACACATCACTTCTACGATCTATCACTCCTATGCTTTATCATTTAAAAGTGACATTATGAACACAGAAATTAAACTCTACTATCAAATTTTAAATAGTGATACTCAGCAGCCCGTTGTGCTTTGCTACCAAAGCTTAACACAAGGACTGATCGTTCCACCAGATCTGCAACAAATGGATGTTTGCTATTACCAGCTTTCAAAAACTGTTATGGACAGAGATCTTTCTTTTCTGTATTTACAAAAGCCTGGAATGAGATCCCACAACATCTAAAAACAATACCAACATTAGGACTTTTTAAAAAATCTCATGCTCGTCATCTGATGGTCAACTATCGCTGTAGCCACAGATAGTAGCCTGTCTCTCTTCATGTTGTATGTTTGGTGATTGTTTGTATTGTTCTCATGTGTTGATGGATAAGATGTAAAGTGTGTCTGTATGTTTTTATGTTCTACAGAGCAGAAACCTGCTGAAAAACAGCATTCATGCTGAGTCAGGCCAGATTATCTTTTAATCTTTTTCTGTTTAAAAATTATAAATAAAATAAATAAATGAACGTGCACTTCCACTAATTTTATTTTTTAATTTTATTTTTTTTTTAATTTTAGGTTTTTCAAAATTTTGATGGTGCAAATTTAGTTGACTAGATATGTAGCAAAGACTATAGATATCCAGTTGAATCAGAATTATTAGCCCCCTTTGATTTATTATTCTTTTTTTAATATTTCCCAAATGATGTTTAACAGAGCAAGAACATTTTTACAGTATGTCTGATAATATTTTGTCTTCTGGAGAAAGTCTTATTTGTTTTATTTCAGCTAGAATAAAATTAGTTTTGAATTTTTTATGAACCATTTTAAGGTTAAAATTATTAGCCCCTTTATGCTATTTTTTCGATAGTCTACAGAACAAACCATCGCTGCACAATAACTTTCCTAAATACCCTAACCTGCCTAATTAACCCAATTAACCTTGTTAAGCCTTTAAATGTCACTTTAAGCTGTATAGAAGTGTCTTGAAAAATATCTAGTCAAATATTATTTACTGTCATCATGGCAAAGATAAAATAAATCCGTTATTATAAATGAGTTATTAAAACTAATATGTTTAGAAATGTGTTATTGGGGGAAAAATAAACAGGGGGGCTGATAATTTTGACTTCAATTGTGCATATGCAGTCAGCGGTTAGTGAAAAACAACACTTTAATATTATTAAAATATTAAAGTTAATAAAATTGTCATTTTTGTGTCTAACATAAAATCCTGAATTATGTCATAACAGCAAGCCACATTGTTTTCAGTGATAGATTTTTGTGTTGTTGTTTTCTTTCTCTTATTTTTCTTTACTAGATTTCACCAAACGGACACAAATAAATTTGATTAGAGATTAAACTCATTTCTTTTTGCTGGGAAAAATTACAGCAAGCACTTTGTGCTAATAGTGAAGTTACAAAGGTTTGTGCATTTGCTTATACAAATGATGTTGGGAAATTTAATGTAAATTTTATTGCCTAAATGGTCATTATAAAAATTGCACAAAAGCATGTACATCAATCAAAAATGGGTGCTCAGCCAGACAACAAAAAGAAAATATACATAAAGGCAGAAGTGGTGAAAAAATATGAATTTTATGAACATGAACTGTAACAATAGCATATAAAGTTTATTATTATTATTAGCCCCCCTGTTTATTTTTTCCACAAATTTCTGTTTAATGAAGAAAAGATTTTTTTCAACACATTTCTAAACATAATAGTTTTAATAACTCATTTCTAATAACGGATTTATTTTATCTTTGTCATGATGACAGTAAATTATATTTGACTAGATATTTTTCAAGACACTTCTATACAGCTTAAAGTGACATTTAAAGGCTTAACTTGGTTAACTAGGCAGGATAGGATAAAAAGACAAGTTATGTTAAAGTGATGGTTTGTTCTTTAGACTATCGAAAAAAATTAGCTTAAAGGGGCTAATAATTTTGACCTTAAAATAGTTCATAAAAAATGTAAAACTGCTTTTACTCTAGCCGAAATAAAACAAAGACTTTCTCCAGAAGAAAAATAATATCAGACATACTGTGAAAATGTCCTTGCTCTGTTATTATAAATTATAAAATTAAATTATAAATATTATAAATATTTAACAAAAGAAAAAAATTCAAAGGCAGGCTAATAATTTTGACTTCAACTATGAAAGAATTGTATTGACAAACCTTGTCGGGTGTCGAATGACAGCTTCTCAGTCAGGAGCTGTCATCACATCCTTGGCAACTTTAAACACCAAAAACGAGACTCTTATTGCGTAACATTTGGTCGTGAAACTGTCATCACACACTAGTCAAAGTTTTTAAAATTATAAATGAGCATGTACAAGTGCTTTGTGGTCAGAATACCAAACAGCAAGACAGCATGCCAACGATAATGGTGTTTGGACATCTGTGGAATATGCAGAAATGCTTACAGATACATATTTTCATTAAAAGGTTATTGGTGTTTTCTTTTAATCTTCAAAAGTACTCTTTGTAGTTTAGTCAGTTGTCTTTGTTGTTTTAAAATTTTGAAACTGTATCAATATTTTATATAAAGTGTTGTACTTTGTACTCGTATCAGTTTTAACAGCCATGATGGTTTTGTGGCTGTTGTTCTGAGATGATGATAATAATAATAGCTTTTACATCCTGCCTATAGCTAAAGAATAAACTAAATGAGTAATTCTAATTCTCATTAGACGTTTATTGAAAAACACTGTTTGTTTTGGATTTGACAACACATTGCTAAAAATAGAACAATAATCATGCTAATATTTGTCATTTACTGTACTATCAATGCTCCGGTTTCCCCCACAGTTTAGAGACATGCAGTACAGAAGGCTAAATTGTCCTTAGTGTATGAGTGTGAATCAGTGTGTATGGATGTTTCACAGAGATGAGTTGCAGCTGGAAGGGCATCCGCTGCGTAAAACATGTGCTGAATAAGTTGGCGGTTCATTCTGCTGTGGAGACCCCGGATTAATAAAGGCACTAAGCAGAAAAGAAAATAAATGAATGAATGTACTATCAATCAACGCATTTATAAAATGAAGTTCAAATTGACTTTAAAAGATTTTTTTAGAAAAAAATAAAATAGACGTGTAGCCTCAAATGTTTCAGTTCCTGTTTATAAAACCAAACCCAGACAACTCAAGATGATTCACATCATGGTGACAACTTCCATGAAAAAGCAGAATAGACGAGGAATTGGATCAACAGCATTTTATTTAAAAGAAAATCTACTATTTGTCTTCATTTGAAATATTTGGAAAATAAAAACGATATTATTTTATGTTATATTACCCATATAGGCTACATTAGAGGAAAAACTGCCTAACCTTTGGCAAAAAAAAAAAAAAGAAATAAGTTTTTTAACTTTTCCTAAAAAACTAGCTTTTAGTATATTAAAAATGTAGTAAACATGTTTTTTTTATCTTTATAAACTATGGTGGACAATCATGATTATTTTGTGGTAACTATGGTTTATTTACAATAATTGTGGGATTTTGGCAGTAAAACTATGGTCAGTTTCAGAATTTTCAGAAAAGCTTTTTTTGACCGGTATGTTTAGACATAAAGGGAGTTTGTTTTTATGACAGAAGCAACCAGGGAGCAACATAGGGATAGAAACAGATAAAAAAATACTAAATGGAGAATAAAAATAAAGAGAAATTAACATTTTATAATTATAATTAATATATATTTTAAATATGTTTTTGTGCTTGTTCCTTTACTGCACTGTAAAACCCAACAGTCAACTTTATCAAATAAAATGAGTGTAGTGAGCTCAAAATTGACTGAAAGTTAATTCTATTAATTTGAAAAGAGTTTTGAGCTCAGTCTTGAAGCTAATGGTTCAATTAAATACCTCATTTCTTCAGCTTGAATAGAGTAAGTTCACAGTACTCGTATAGATTCGTTTTTTTTTTTTTTTTTAACTCAAATGGTCTGTTGCAATCGATTTCCTCAAACAGTTTGAGTTGCCTAAACTCATTGGGTTTTACTGTATCAGTTGGTTTGAGTTCTCGTCATTTATTGGGTTTTACTGTGCTTAAATTGCTTCATCTACTCAAATGGATTAAGTTCACAGTACTCATTAGGATTAGTTTTTGAACTTAAATGTTTTTTTTTGCAATCGGTTTCCTCAAGGGGTTTGAGTTACCTTAATGTTTTGGGTTTTACAGTGTGGTTTAGGCCTGTATAAAGCATAAGTTAACATGACCGCAACAATCCCGTATTACCAAATGATTCAAAGACTCATTCATTTAAATGATTTATTTAAAAGGCAGATTAATTTACAAAGCAAGCAAAAACATGCAGATGATCTGTAAAAATATATAAAAAATGATCAAAACGTCGTATTTAAAGGGATAGTTTGTCCAAAGCTGAGAATTTAATCATAATTTACTCACCTTTCACTTGTTACAAACTTGTTTCAATTACTTTCTTCTCTTGAACACAAAAGAAGATATTTGAATAAAATTTTTTGAAAAAGATGTAACATTGACTTCGACGGTATTTGTTTTTCCTATACTGAACATTGGTCAATGGTATTTAATGAAAATATGGGGTATTTTTTCAGGGATAATAACAGGTATTTTTGAAAATATCTTAATTTGAGTTCAACAAAAAAAATGATACTCAAAAGTTTGGAGCCACTTGAGGGTGAGTAAATAGTGACAACATTTTACTTTGGGTGAACTATCACTTTACACACAACCACTATTAATACACACTTCATTATTTTATAATGCCACGTTTTTAAAAAAGGAGAACCATGGAAAGCTTCAGTTTTTACTCTACACAAACAAAAATCTTGCTGACTTTTCAGACTCTGATGAAAAACAAGTGTCACTTCTCCTCTTGCCCTCTTGTCAGGCCATGACAGAAAAGTACGAAGTGTTCTCGGTCTCCACTGAACTGAATGATCCAGTAGGCCTGCGGGTGCTTGATCCTCGACCGTTTGCCCATCCCACCAACCCGAGGCACCCCTGGGGTCCTAAAGCAGCCTTGCACATCTGGGCAAGCTCACGGCGAAACTTCACTCCCACAAGCCCATAAAGTAGAGGATTTAAAGCGCAATGTGCCAAGCCTAGACTTTCTGTCACCAGAATGCCCACATCCAACACATTGTTCAATGCGCAGGATTTGACAATGACGCCTAACATCTGCAAGCTGTCAGTCATCCGCAGAGCATTATAAGGCGCCCAGCTGATCACGAACACGATGACTAAGGAGATGATGAGCCTCAGTGAGCGGCGTTTCTGCCTACGTGTGGCATGGCACAGAGCTTTGAAAATGTGAAGGTAGCAATACAGCATTACCAACAGAGGAAGTATGAACCCAAGAACCATGCTTACCAGCTGCATACCAATCTGCCATTGCTTGGAGTATTGTTCAGAATAAACTATTTGGCACACCATTCGATTCATGCCAGGAATTTCCACTAAGTCACGAAAGTGCATGTCCACCATGGACAATCCCAAACAGATGACCCAAATGAAGGCGCAGGCCAGCTGAGCGTGGCAGGTTTTGCGTCTCCAGCTGATATTGATGGCGTGGACAATAGCCAGGTATCTGTCAAAGCTGATACATGCCAGGAAGAGCACCCCACAATAAACATTCAGCGAGAACAAAGCTCCAGTTATTTTACACATCACCTTGCCAAACACCCACTCGCTGATCCACTCGACGGCGAAAAATGGCAACGTTGCAGCCAGAAGAAGGTCTGAGATGGCCAAATGTAGCAGGAAGGTGTCTGTCAGTGAGAAGGAGCAGGGACTGTGTCGAGATTGGCGATATCGGCGGATAACACAAAGCACAAGTATGTTACCCACTAGCGCCAGGATAAACACCAGGATGTAAGCCACAGGTGCAAAGCGACCAAGAAAATTCCATGTTTCTGTCAGACTGCAGGGGGCAGCGTAAGGATTATCATCATCATAGGAAGTACTGTTGTAGTCATAATCTGTAGGCTGTAACAAAAAAGATGCCTTTCAATATCTTGGTCATTTCAGCATCTTAAAGTACACTGTAAAAAAAATCTGTAATTTCATGGTTTATTCCTGGCAGCTGGGGTGCCGGAAATAAACCAAAAAATAAAGGCTGTTAAATTACAGAAATTTACTGTAAAATAACAGAGGTTGAATTACAGAAATTTACCAAAATTTTTTATTTAAGTAAATTTCTGTAAGTTAATGTCCGTTATTTTACAGTAATTTCTGTAATTTAACGGACGTTATTTTACTTCTTTTTTTTTTTCTGGCACCCCAGCAAAATTACAGATTTTTTTAAAGTGTAGTGCTGCACCAACAACATTTACAAAAAATTGCTGTTAATTTACTCATCTTCAGGCCAGGTGAGGATATGTTTACATGACAACAACAGAAAAGTTTCTTCACTGTGTTTTGAAAGTTTCACCTTTACATGATAATTTTTTTCCTTTTTTTTTTTTAAATATCTTTAAAAACATTGGGCCCTATCATACACCCGGCGCAGTGTGGCGCAAGGCGTGGCGCAGAAGTCTTTTGGTAGTTTCAGCTTGGCGCAAGAGTCGTTTTGAGGCGTTGCGCTACGCTGTTTAAATAGCAAATGCATTAGCGCTCATTTGTGTGCCCATAGGCGTTCTGGTCTAAAAAGGAAGGCGTTCTGAGGCGGGCCGCTGCTACTTTGAGAAACTATAATAGATTTTTCATTAGACCAAAACTAACCCGGTCTAAACTCCGGCGCAGAGTTGCGCCTCGCTTACGCGCTGCTTAATACGCACAAGAGAGCAATAGGCAAATATCTTTACATATGAAAAAATGTAAATATTAAGGATATATATAGGATATAATAAGAATAGATATAGAATATAAATATAAAGGATTAAAATATTACAAAACATATTATTTTCTAGCCTACATAAATATGAAAAACCACTGCTTTTATGTCTTCTTCATCTCGGGAGGCTTTTTCAGTTCATTCATAACAATTTGCTTTTGTATAATGTTATTATTATTAGCAGTATTATTAATAATATCCATATTTATATTTTTTTTATTAAAAACAAGCTTAGATTTGCCCACCTGTCAGGTTTTAGACCATATGGGGCACAGCATGTGTTTTAGGATATAACTCAGGTTTTTGAGCACATTTTGCTATTATTATTCATTTATTCGTTTGCTGGAAATTAGAACTGAATTTAGAAATAGTTTTGAAACGAATATTTGCGCTTAACAAACAAAAGTATTTATTTATAGACTAATTGATGTCTGTGCGTAAAGGTTTCCCTATCCAAGAGCGAAAGTGATCCATTATCTCTCATTCTCACGCATGTTCTGTTAAAAAACTGTTAACTGTTTGCTTGTGAAATGCTCATTTTTTCCTCTTAGACTTACTTTGCGTCCTGTAAATAGCGAATGCGCTCTTGGCGCGACGCAGCTGACCCTTAAAGGGAATGGGAGATAAGATTCTAATTGGTTTATTCTCAAAACACACCTATAACTCATTAAGAAAATAAACTCAACCCTTTTAGACCATGCGCCTTGGCGCAAGGCAGATTTCCCATCCTTAAATTAGCAAAAACGCATCCTGACACGCCCTGAAAGCGTTTGCGCCCTGTGTTTTGCGCTCTGCGCATGGACCGTCAAAATAGAGCCCATTGTGTTACATCTGCCAGGACAGTATTTGGCAATTGTTTAGTAAACAGTATAGGAGACACTTGAGCAACAACACTTTTGAAGAATTCAAAGACAAAGGCTAAGGGCTCTATTTTGATGATCCATGCACAATGCGCAGGGCGCAAACGCTTTCAGAACGAATTCATTTTTGCTAATATAAGGATGGAAAAATCCGCTTTGCGCCGTGGCGCATGGTCTAAAAGGGTTGAGTTTATTTTCTTAATGAGTTATAGGTGTGTTTTAAGAATAAACCAATCAGTCTCATCTCCCATTACCTTTAAGAGCCAGTTGCGTTGCTCCATGGCCATTTGCTATTTACATGACGTAAAGTAAGTGTAAGTGGAAAAACTGAGCATTTCACTAGTAAGAAAACAGTTAAACAGAGCATCTACAGATAAATTATTCTTGCAATTTTCCGGCAAATATTCATGACTGTAGGTCATAAATAGGCCAGAAATGTAATTGCTTTACCACTCTTCACCTCTTTTCACCAAGCATGAACAGCTACACCATTTCAAGCACTCTTGTGTGTGTTTATCTGCGTTCATGTTTGGTGAACAGAGGTGAAAAGTGGTGAAACAATGACCTTTAAAGAAGCCAAACATTGTCATTTTTGTTGAGCACATGAACACATTGGCCAGTCAGCTGCATTTAGGAAAGGGTTCAGCAGCTAGTAAAATGTTAGTGGGACTTTAAAAAAAATCTGTACTGATTGGTACCAAAGTCGATACGTTAGACAAGCCTAAGTAGAACAATAATAGATTTGTAGCTGAAGCTGTTGTAATTATGATTTGTAAAATGGAAGTCAGTAACCATTGCAAAGTACAAGCAAAGCTGAGGTCAAATTAAAGTCTTATGAAGCAAAACAAGAACATTATCAACATTCTAAACATTTTTGGTAATCTACATAAATGAAAATTAAACATGGTTTTATTGTAAGTCTAGCCATGTGGTTTGCTTGGTACATTGATGTTTGCATACAGTTTTACTAAAAATATGGTTGGTATCCCATAATTATGGTTCATTTGTGATTACAGTGTTTTAAGTACAATATGCATGTTATTTTTTTATTATTATTAATTATTAATTGAGGAAAGTCAAAAGTTATTCATTTTTGCAAACTATTTTAAACCCTCACATGCTTATTATTCAGCTCATCAGTTCTTTGGTCTGATTTAGAGCTGGATACTCATTTCAGTCACAGAAAAATGTAAATCTAGAGCTGAATTTTGGCCAAAAGAAACAGCATATTGACTCTTTTTGAGATTTTGACATAACTTCAGGCACATCTGAATATGAGTTTTGATTAGCTCGTAGATCTTTCAACTGTTTCGGATCCAGTTCACTCCATTTTCTGAACTATTCAGTTCTCTAAAAAACACTGGTTCAAAAGTATGACTCATTTGCAAATCTGAAATCACCCCATGTTGGCCCAGTTCTCCCATTAGTATTTTCCATATTACTAATAGTGTGATAAATGAAGAAAAATGTTGTGCACAAAGTGAATTTTTAGCCTCAATATGGCCTCATGGTATCATAAGAAGCTATCAGTATTTATCTTGCTTTGCCTGTGGGTGTGTGTCTGTGCGTTTTAATCTGGCAACGTTGGACATGGATTATATAAATCACCAAGGACCAAGGTTTCTACTTTCATTATTTACTAAAGAAAAATGTCATCTATCTATCATGGTCTGAAAATGAGTAAATGAATTTCAGGTAAATGATCCCTTAAAAGTATTAGTTTAATGGCAACTAAAACTCACCGCTGAGACCTCTGCGGCTGTTGTTGAGTTGTCCATGATGAGCTTCAGAGAAGTGAGACATACAAATAAAATAGTGGGCACGAGATGTTAGGCACGTCTCGTCTCTCAAGCTATCTTGTCTATATGTCTCTTCTTTCTATTGGACAATTAACACACACAAAAAGAAAAACAGAGGGACAAAGAGTGAAACGTTAGACCACAGAAACTGAATCCCACGTTGTCAAGCTACAACAAAAGCCTAAAATGTGGAACTGAAAGCTGCATGAGCAGGAAAAACTAAAATCTGCATTCCTTTGATTAAAAACAAACAGACAGTAAAATTAACATCCTTAATTTGTTGAGTGCAGACATTTTTTTTCTTTCTACAAGTTTGTTGAATTAATTCATTTTTATCGAAGACATCTTGACATTTTGAAAACTCTAAAGACAGATTGGTAAATCTAAAAGTTTGTAAAAAAGTTATAGTAAAACATCAAATGTTTATTGTGTAAACCTGGGAAGAGTAGAGTACAACTACAAGGAACTGAAAGTGCTAAAGACTCAAACTGTAAAAAGTATATTATTTTTGTTATATGAAATAAAATAAATCACAATTAATAAACCTTTATTTATATATATATATATATATATACACAGTTGAAGTCAGAATTATTAGCCCCTTTTAAATATTTCCCAAATGATGTTTGACAGAGCAAGGAAATTTTCACAGTATGTCTGATAATATTTTTTCTTCTAGAAAAAAGTCTTATTTGTTTTATTTCGGCTAGAATAAACGCAGTTTTGAATTTTTTAAAAACTATTTTTGGGACAAAATTATTAGCCCCTTTAAGCAAATTTTTTTTTTCCGATAGTGTACGGAACAAACCATCGTTGTAGAATAACTTGCCTAATTATCCTAACCTGCCTAGTTAACCTAATTAACCTAGTTAAGCCTTTAAATGTCACTTTAAGCTGTATATTTACTGTCATCACGGCAAAGATAAAATAAATCAGTTATTAGAAATAGGTTTTTAAAACTATTATGCATAGAAATGTACTGAAACAATCTTCCCTCCATTAAACAGAAATTGGGGAAAAAAATAAACAGGGGTGTTAATAATTCAGGGGGCTAATAATTCTTCAACTTCAACTGTATAAATATATATATATATATATAAGTAAAGCATTGCTAATGTAAATCTGAGAGAATGTTCCAACTTGCTGTCATTCATTTCAAGAAAAGAAAAAAGAATTACCCTCTGAAGTGAAATTTTGATAACAGTAAAATTGACTTATTACAACTGTATCAAGGACCAGCATTAACGTTTAGAACATAGTAGAAACAAAAATCAAAGTCACGTACCTGTTGTCTCTGTGCTGTCTGCGCAGGGCTTGACTTGCCCAGATCTGATGATGGTCTGATAACTTCTCAAAGTGTTCAGGAAACATGTTAATCTCTGTGCTTCCTGCCTTTTTTCTTTCTTCCCCTTTCACTGTCCAAAAAACCAAAAACTTAGTGGAAATATTTTCAACATCATAAACAGAAGTTTTGTATTTGTAGTAAGGTACTTGTAAAACAAAGATGTAGCATTTTTTAGTTAAATGTTTACGGCTCCAATGTGGTTTATGGTATTTTTTAATAGACAGGAAGCCAAAGCCTTGCTCTTATTAAATTAGTACACATGATGATTTGTTGTTTGGTTTGATAGCAGTTGCAATTCAAAATGTCTAAACATTATTGAGAGGTTATTTAGTATTTTCCCCCATTTTTAAAAAATGATTTTGTTTATTTGTTTGTTTGTTTATTTAGGTAGTAAAATTGTGATGTCTTAATTATTCTGGTCAATGTTGCTGTCTTTAAGTAACTTGATTACATAATAGTGTACAAAATTGTAGTAAAATGCATTTAAGCCTTTGAAAACTCTTTAATAAAACCCAGACTTAATTAACTGAGGCTGTTACCCATGAATGCAATTGAAGAGCAGACCAAATCAAAAGAACTCTCACAAAAGTCACTAAAAGGCACCAAAGGTTAGGCACAACAGCCTGCTTTATTCAATAATTTAAATTGTTTTACCTGTGTTTTTACCTTGCCATTCATGACCATGAAAAACATAAAATGATGTCACAACTTGACAACTTGGAAATGATGACTTTAGTTGTGTTCCTTAGATTGACCAAGATTCACAAGATGTTTTCCAAATTGAACACTGTTAAAAAAAAACTGTTAAATTTATTGAAAATACCGGCAGCTGTGGTTACCAGAATATTTCCATAAAAAATACAGAAGTTTATAGAACTGTTTTAACTTAAGGAAAATAACCATATTTCATGTACTGATACAATGCTCAGTTCACAAAACGTAGCTTAGTGCATAAAAATGTAAAATCATTTAATGTAGTAACGTGTTCATGTGTGTTTACATTAGCAAACAGATATTCACTGCATCAGTAACTACACAGTTACATTTAAACAAAAGACGATGCAGAACAACATAAAATACTTTCGGTTCATTTAGGACTTCAATTCAATTCAATTCAGCTTTATTTATATAGCGCTTTTACATTGTAGATTATGTCAAAGCAGCTTCATATAAATGGTCATAGTAATTGGAACAGAGTAGTTTAGTTTTTAGTGTTTAAGTTCAGTTCAGTTTAGCTCAGTTCAGTGTAGTTTAAAATCATTACCAGGAGTCCAAACACAGAAGAGCACATTCATCGATGGGTAGCTCAACTGATCTTAAACCATGCAAGCTAGTGGTGACAGCAGAGAGGGAACTTGCACCCAGATGCTATATAATCCACAATGGTGACACAAAAACCACTTTACAGTATTTTGCTGTTTTTTCTTTTCTTTTCTTTCTTTAAAAGAAATATACAGCCAGCTGTGGTTTCCAGTAATCTGCTATTTTCAACATTTTACATTCGTAAATTCAGTTTACAGAATATTTTTGTTAAAATACATTCCACAGTCTGTATTTTTCATCAAACACATTTAACCTATCAAATCCCTGAGCAAAATCCTTACTAGTGTCCTCACTACAAAGGGTTGAACACTCAGACAGTGATGAAGTTAATGAGATAATTAAGTGTATAATTAAAGGAGGGTTAAGAATTATTGATGAACAACTGTTAACAGAAGAATCACTGAAAGAATGAAAACACACACACACACACAAAAAAACCCCAACCAAAACCAAAGATGAAATCAACTAAGAATAAAACTCTAAACAAAACAACAATTAATAAAAATAAAACAAACTACACAATAAAAATGTGATTTCTCAATATCTCAGCGGAGATCATTAAACAACTACACAAACATCAGGAGCTTCACTTATTATTGACCTTTGACTTTATTTCTCTCACATAAACAAAAGCTCTTAATGAAATTTTTGTTGTTCATTTGATATCAATAAGAGAGAGGTCAGCATCTGTTTTAGTTGGGCTTTTCAACTATTTGTTCTGACAAATCAATCATTTAAACTATTCAAACATGACTTTATTCAAATTATTTTCTGTGGAATTATCTTTATATATGCTACAATTTCACAGCATTTCTGGTTATTTGATTTATGAAATGGCGCTCATAGTGTTGAATATTATGGTTGGGGATACTGCTCACTGCTAAGTTGTCTGGTATTTCCATCACAGTTTCTATTAGTTCTAGTCAGTAGTATGCATACTGTGTAACATAGAGACTAATATTTTATATTGGTTGGATAATTTGGATCTTTAAAGTCATCTGGTATATCTTGGAAAACCCCTGCGCTTATTTTTTTTTTAAAACAATATGCTCACTCAGAGCTCCCTTGCTTACCTTTTACTTGCATAGAATTGTTTTGATGTATAATCAATACTTTCTAATAGTGTTAACCATATCATACTTTTAAAAAAATATCTCTCTCTGTTCAATGAAATTATGAAAAAACATTATCTGCTTACAAGAGAATTCAAGTAAAGATTCCACCTTAAGATTAAAATGGTGTGTTGGACACTGAACATAGTATCCAGCTGCTTGGATTTGTAGATTTAGTTTCGATAACTTTTCCAAACTGTGGTTTATATAGTTACAAGTTCACAAGTGTAAAGATCAACAAGTGTAAAAGCATTATAATGGACAGTATGTCTTAAAGGAGCAATGTAATACTCCTGTAATTTGATTTAAAAAAAAATGTTTGATTTAAACAAATGTTTGTCTATTAAGCCTCCTCAACATATTTAAATACGGACAAACAAAAGTCACTGTATTAAGGTCTGTGTACAGTTTAGGTGTTAATTGCGTTAATTAGAAACCAGTTTCTTTCTATTAATAATAATAATAATAATAATAATAATAATAATAATAATAATAATAATAATAATAACAATAAGATGATGATGATGATGATGATGAAAAGCCTTTATTTGTCACATACACTTTTACATGTAGCGAAATTGGACCCTTCCAACCATACACAAGCATGACATTTCAGAGGAAGACATGTCAGATAAGAGGTAGATTTCAGAAAGAGAAAATAAAATACATTAGAGAGAAGGGAGGAGAATAAAAGCCCCTCTTAGACTATCCTTGAAGTAGGGCAGTTTGAGATCAGGGGGAAAAAAAAACAGCAACAAGCACATAAACACATAGACATAGACATAACATTACAACAGGGGATGGGAACAGGGGGTGTGGAGATGCTAATGCCAGCCATCTGGTACTGCCACTAGAGCGCGCTGGTCACACACCCGCCTACCTATACCGAGAGTAATAAATGATCCAGTTCCACACTGGTGAAAAAGCCCCAATCAGGGGCAGCGAATGTCTGAGACCTCACCTCCATTTTAAGATGTCTCCTTTTCCCCCCATCCACACTATGGAGCAGCAGCGTTTTAAATGAAAACGGCCTCTTCACAGTTTTAAAAAAGCTCTGTTATTGGCGTTTGAAAACTCCGAAGTAGTGTGGACGGATGGCGTAAACGTATGTGTTTTAAAACTAAAATATTAGTGTAAACGGGGCCTTAGTTTGTGTAAGCCTGTAGAGTCTCGACAGGTATCCTTGGAACAGAGAGAAGGAATTCCGAGCGCCTCGTTATCATGTTCTCCAGGGGAAGTTGTTGGTCTCCAGCCGAAGCCGTCTGGCAGAAGTGTCGCAGGAAAACCAATAGAGAAAGGTTTCCAAATTTGTGTCAATATCTGCCAATTTTGCAGATTGCAGATGTTCGTCACTGGTCTCCAGGTCTGTCCAAATCTTGTTGCAAAGCCACTAGTTTTCCAATTTCGGTACATAACTGCTGTGCTAACAACCCTGCTAACCACTGTTTCAATCCAGTTGGGCAGCTTGGTGAGGTTTTTAGCCGCACTGACCGCTTTTATCAGTCGTCGATACCACAGGGCCCTGCCTAAACCCATCAGCAGAAACCCTGTTAACAAAGCTAAGAGTTTTCCACCGTTTTGGAAACTATTGCAATTCCCTTTATATAGGCCAACTTCAGGTTGAAATTTTTGACTTTGAATGACAACTTGAAAAAACAAACTCCAATATTGCGCAGCCTTAGTCTATAAATATATAACGACTGATCAATCAGTAGTCAAAATCAAATCAATCAATGACTTGCAATTAATCAGTCCACCACAGAGCAGCAGTGTTTGCTTCTTTTTATGGCATTTAAGATCTGTACATCTCAAGCAAAACTGCAAGCTGATAGAAACTGGCATTATTTAAAGTAGATAAACACTTGCTCTTGCCCATCCTAATATGTCAATATACACTGATTCAAATGGCACTCTTTTGACAAGCAGTACAAAGCAACTTAATATCTCCAGCTGTAATCCACCATATGACTCCATCCAATTGTTACTTATTTTAGCTTGTAGATCATTTCTAGAGCACAGATCAAATAAAGATAACTTTTATTTTTCACATTTATTCATTTTAATAGTTGTTTGTATTCATTATCTCATCTTGTTTCAGAGATTCAAAAGGGTGAAGTTTCAAATCCGTTACTTTGCCCCTGTCTAAAGCATTTGAAACTGTGGTTTGTGATTTTGACAGTTTGGTTGTGCAACATATCATCTTCAGGCATTGGTCAATCCTGTGCGCATATGTATGTGGTTACAGTGATCAGAATGAAAAAGGAAATGACTGCAGAATTCACAAAACAATCCTAAATCACACAAACTTTAAAATATGATATGTAAAGCAGTGCTGAGTACATGTAATATTTCTTCTTTTTAGGCTTAGATAAAGTTGAAAATACAGTTTAAAGTCAAATGCAAAAGCACTGTATTTGGTTATGTTTGAAAATTGAAAATTAAAAAATGTGTGAAACTGGAAATTCATGTTCTCTGATGATATGTTTTAAAGAGATCATTTACATAAGGGGCAGGAGGCTGATTACTGTATTTATTCAAGCTGACTTCACAAACGCAGATGAAAAGGCAAAGAATTAGTAAGTGCTAAAGCTGTGCAGGCCATTAGAAATACCAGAGACATGCCCTGATGTGTAAACATGATTGAACTGTACGTTCACAAAACCAAACAGTTCAGTTTTCAAAAAGTAAAATAGCTATTTCCTCACATGCGTTTAAATCTACTGAATCTTTTTAATAGTTTGTGTTGTCATCAGGCTGTACGTATCTAAACATCATCTAAAAAGAGAATTTACGAAACTGCACTTTGACCTATCTTACCAATACAATACCTATACAAACGCTGTGTTTGAAACTCTAATAGCTTGTGAAGTTACTTCTACAGCCTTTCCAGTTTCATGTGTTGTTGCCTAATAAATTGTTTTTGCAAGTATACAAATGTCACATATTATATCTGAGCTTCCCTTTTCTGTTCATATTCCTGTGAATATGAAACAGTGCGTTTCGAAAGAGAACTTGGTTCATGTCTGAAGTCAGAAAAAAAGACATATCTACACTACCAGTCAAAAGTTTGGGGTCAGTAAAGGATTTTTAAATGTTTAAAAAAACTTATCCTGCTCACCAATGCTGCATTTATTAAATGTAAAAAAACTTTAATTATTTATTCACATTTTAAATAACTGCTTTCTTATTGTATGCAGTTTTCAAATGAAATTATTACTCCAGTCATTATTGCTTTTATTACTACTACCATTATAATAATTAATATTGGAGTGCTTTTTGAAGGATCATGTGACTCTGAAGACTGGAGTAATGAAGCTGAAAATTCATCTTTAAAATCGCTGGAATAAATTATTAAATTAAATGACAAACTTCTTTTGAACATTTATTTTATAGTGCAATAACATTTAAAAATTTTACAATTTGTTCTGTATTTTTGAAGAAATAAATGCCACCTTGATTAATAAAATAATTTTCTTATGAAGAAAAAAACTGACCCCAAACTTTTGACCGGTATTGTATATGTAATTAATAAAATTAATAGAAAGAAATTTGCTGTCTTTCCATGCTTTTTGTATGAGGTTGTATGATGTATTTCTATGAGGATAATGGAAAAACAGAACAACTAACCAAAATATTACCAGCACATTACTTTTGAAACTTTTTTTAATACTGTGAACAATGTTGAAAAAGTTAAAGCTATAGACATTTCTCTTTGGTTATTGTTTTCTTCTGGTCAGAATGGGTTAAAAGGTTGGTAACGCTATAGGGGTGCTGATAACAAAAACAAAAGACAGTTTTCTGACAAGCAAACATGAAATGCATTGCCTGAAATTGCCAATATGTCAATGAATTTGCCATATGCAACAACAATTCAGTTAAGTAGAATGGAGTGGACTCCAAAGCTCTTTAGTAGAGCTTATTAGCAGGGATGACAAAGACCTTTCGCCCACTTGAAAAATTCACTGGGTAAAACATTAAATGACATTTTAAACATGATATTTAAAATAAAGGTATTCACATAAAAATAGTTACATAAGTGTATTAGCTAAATAGATATATTTTAAAAAGATCGAGATTACCACAAAAAATTAAGTAAAAAAATAAAAAATAAAATAATATACATCCATTCATTTTGTTTTCAGCTTAGTCCCTTTATTAATCAGTGGTTGCCACAGCAGAATGAACCACTAACTTATCCAGCATATATTTTACGCAGCGGATGCCCTACCAGGCATCCACATGATATTTTTATACCCATGATTTTAAATCTACAACTTTTTACAATATACATGCATTTCAAACAAATGTAAGCAAGCTTTGTTGCTGTTAATACCTCTGTTGACAGAAATGTACTTTATGGTTAGGCAAATATGCAGAGCATATAAACGTATATTATATATTGTAAGGGTGTTACTGGACAAATTAAATCAGAGCTCTTGAATTGTGGCCAGTGTGCTGTACATACACTCACTCAGGTACAGATAAATAATGTTCTCTTCTAAATATTTTATGAGTTGTAGATAACGTATTGTTTTGAAGGGTGTGGAGACCTGAAACTTCTCGCCCCCAAACCAAACACTTCACCCTTCAGTTTACAGGTCACATAAAGCACTCACCACTGGTAAAGTTTCCCCTCCCCGTCGTCATGTTAAAGGTGATTTCCAGTGTCAGCGAGATCTATCAGAACATCATTCCCTGGAGGAGGTGAGACGATATTAGGAAGACTCTACATTGAAACAGGTAAGAGAGAGGATACAATTTTAAATATTTCTTAAAATGGCATCACTTGTCCTAATTAGTACTTATTTGGAGACTTTCTCTGTAGCTATTTCCATTCAAAATGCAAATTAAACTTATGAGAAAAGCCCTGTGTCCATACTATAAGTGAAAGACAACAAACTCATTACGTTCTGATTAACTGCTGGCAAATATTAAACAGAAAAATGTAACTATTCCCAAATAGTAAATTACTTTTAGCCTCAGAAGATGAAATGTAATGAATGCGCACTGGCTTTTGGGGGCATCAGATTACTCTTTAGGAGCACAGATGCTCAAGACTGTTCTGCAGTTAACTAAAGCACTTCAGAATGATCAAAACATTTGATGTTGAGTAATGTGTTCGGTCTACTAGTTTGTCCATTAATGCTGTCCCATTATGTCCGTGTTTGTTATCATATGTTACAAAAAAAACTTTTTGATGCGCATGATCAAGATTGTAGTTTATTTATTTATTTTTTAGCAGATAAAACTTTTATCTAAGTTAGTTGTGTGCATCTTTGTGTTTCTATTCATTGTTAATTATTTTTTCCAATTAATTTTTTTATTAATAATTGATTATTTTAATTGAGTATTGCAAAATGTGTTTAAAATAGGTTGATGGAAACAAAGCTTGCATATTAGCCAAGTAAACATGCTTTGTAATTATAAGTACTTGTAGTACAATGCTGTCTATAAAAGAGCATTCTCACATCATTCACCAGGTTTCTGTTGTCAGTGATGTCATATCAGGCAGAATCAATGACGTCTCAGCCTCAAATGACTGTAACCAGTTACACAGTTTCTCACTGGAGCTCTGACGTCTGTGACTGCTGTGATGACTGCGGCATCTGTGAGTGACTGATGGAGATGAAGCTCTGCCATTTCATTGTATCTTGTATACAATGACAATAAAGCACTCTATTCTATTCTATTTTGTTCTGTTCTGTTCTATTCTGTTCTATTAAAGGGGTTATAAACTGCCTTTTTAATTGTGTTCTGTTTACTGAGATCCACTTATAATTGTGTATATACAGTTGAAGTCAGAATTATTAGCCCCCCCTGAATTATTAGCCCCCTGTTTATTTTTTACCCAAATTCTGTCAAACGAAGATTTTTCAACACTTCTAAACATAATAGTTTTAATAACTGAATCTAAAAACTGATTTATTTTATCTTTGCCATGTTGACAGTAAATAATATTCGACTAGATATTTTTCAAGACACTTCTATACAGCTTAAAGTGACATTTAAAGGCTTAACTAGGTTAATTAGGTTAACTAGTAAGGTTAGGGTAATTAGGCAAGTTATTTTATAATGATGGTTTGTTCTGTAGATCATCTAGCTCTGTCAAAGAATGTTTGACAGAGCTAGGACATTTTACAGTACTGTATGTCTAATAATATTTTTTCTTCTGGAGAAAGTCTTGTTTGTTTTATTTTGGCTAGAATAAAATCAGTTTTAAATAAAAAAAACATTGTAATATATATATATATATATACATGTGTTTTTACACATGATGTGCATGGGATGGCAATACACATGACAAGCCTTTGCCTAATCGAGGTTTTGATTTCATATCTCTGTATTACAAGCTCCAAAAGAAGACAATTTTTTTTATTTTTTTTTAAAGAAAATGTGTTCCTTGGTTATTCATGAAACACAAGCAATGGCTACTGATAACCACTGGTGTAAAGTAACTAATTACTGTAATTGAGTAGTTTTTCTCAGGAATTGTAATTTACGAAGTAGTTTTAAAAATTTGTACTTTTACTTTCCCTTGAGTACATTTTTAGTGCAGTATCTGTACTTTTACTCCACTACTTTCCTTCAACCTGCAGTCACTACTTTATTTCTTTCTTGTCTATGGTGATTAAAAAAAATCAGTCCTGTGGGAGATGTACAAGAAGATGTCCAAGATCTTAACACGCATTGACATATAGACTGTTTAGATGCATGTCGCTGATGAGAAGCCCAGCAGACACAAGACGTCAACATGACGTCAGATTGACGCTCACCAACGTCATGGGGACATTACATTTTGTCTGGAAATGAAAATCGGGTTCACGTCAGAACTCAATGTCAATGTCCAACCTTAAACGTACCAAATATCAACATCTAATGATGTTACATGCAGCTTGCATTGTGTGGACATTACCACTGTGATGTCTATTAGATGTTGGTTTTTGATTGCCACACTTGATAAATAAATATCAGTATTTGACATCAATATAATGTTGGTTTAAGATGTTGGCTCGACGTTGGATTTTGGTCACTTTCTAACAACCTAAAATCGACCAAATATCAACGCCATTTGATGTCATTATTGGACATAAAAATCACATCCCTAGACGCTGGCTAAACGTTAAATTTTGGTCACCTGACATCACAACCTAAATCTAACCTAATGTTAACGTCTTCTGACGTTGTGTGTCTGCTGGGCAATAACTCGATGTGCTACAGAATGTTATGTTTACACACACATGCACAAAAAAATGAAAATGCATCAGCTTTTAACAGCGTAATACTCACTACTCTTGAGTACTTTTGAAAGGTCTACAGTACTTTTAACTCATACTTTGAGTAATATTTACTACAGATACTTTTACACAGGCAAATATTTAGGCAAATAATGGCATTTTTAATTGAGTATGATTTTTCAGTACTCTCTCCACCACTGCTGATAACTTGGGAGTCATGAAAAATACATAGGCAAAATAGAATTAATCCTAGTGGCTCCTGACGATACACTGATTTCCCATAAAGCAAAACAATGTTAGCGCAGTATGTTTATTACAGAGAGGGACTATGTGTACGTTTTATGTTTGTTTGTACTTGTGTTTATCCCGGATGCTTAAGTCTACATGAAAATAAGATCACCTTTGCATAGTTTTAGTTGAAAAAACTGACTTTACAGATGACCAGCGTTTGATGTGTTATTTTTACACTGTAATACTTGATTCTGATTGGTCAGTGACAACATTCCAAGTTGCTATTCCCCAATAAAAACCGATTAAACAAATAACAAAGACTCATCCAGGTATGCAAGAGTGAGCAGGTCTAAAGAACTGTCCCTTTAATTCAGTGGTGGTCAACCCTGTTCCTGGAGATCGACCTTCCTAAAGAGTTCAGCTCCAACCCTGATCAAACACACCTGAACCAATTAATTAGGACCTGAACAGCACTTGATAATTACAGGCAGGTGTGTTTGATATGGGTTGCAACTGAAATCTGCTGGAAGGTCGATCGCCAGGAACAGGGTTGAGCACACTTCCTTTAATTAGTGTGATTAGTAAAGCTCAGAGTACACTTTGGTTAAAAAGTTGAACATAAGCATTTTATAGTAGTGCTCGTCTATACTCACTTCAGTTTAGACACAGAATGACAAACTTCCTTATACACTTCCCTTTAGGGAAATCCCCACTGCCATTTTGAAGTTTATACAGAGAGACCAACGACCCTTTGACAAAGACAGAGAGTGATCCTACTTCTTAAGTACACTTCAAGCAGATCCGTATACTTCTCCAACTACACTCAAAAAAAAAAAAAAAATATATATATATATATTTTTTTTTTTAACTTGTTCAAACTACTTAATTAAAATAAGCTGAAACAACACAATTCTTAAGATTTCATTGGTACAACTTAATTTTTTTGTAAGTTCAATCCACATAAATTTGTTAAGTGTTAAGTTAACTTAAGAAATTTGATTTGATAAAATGATTATGTTAATGCAATCATTTTTACAAATTTAAGTGGATTGAACATTAACCAATTAAGTTGTCCTGAAAAAAGCTCCTTAAATATTGTAGTGTTACTCATTGTCAATATGTAGTTGAAACAAGCAGCAAAGGTTTTTTTTTTTGAGTGTATTATCATAGCTAACTAATCTATTTCTTGTAATGACATTAACTATTTATTCTCAGAATGATCTCAAAAGTAAAAAGTAGAACTGAAGTCTGATTCTGTAAGGGTTGTGCTTCACAAATCAGCAGCTTAAAAACATTTGCTAGAAATTTAAAAAGTAATGTATTGATTTACGTCACTGAAATCCTTATGCTACATATTACATTTTAAATAGGGCAACTCGTAAACTTGTACTCGTAAGCGATTACATTTCCAAAGAAACTCTCTCAGCACATTTTACTGTACACAGTACAAGTTCACGAGAGAATCGCTTAATAAGCTGATATGTGTAATGTCACGTTAACATATTTCAAAGATTTCTTTTATTGGTTAAAGGTTAAAAGAGCCTTAAACAAAATCGGATGAGAACAATACCTGATTTTATGCAAGGTATTCATGAAAGTAAAAGTAGAAAAAGTTTTCCTTTTATTAATTATCTATGAATTCAGTCAAGATTACCAGCTCTCAGCAGTCCTTACTGTGGACACGCATCAAGCTAGACAGGGGTGCTGGTAATATTTCGGAATGAGCATGAAATCATGTCATTAACTTGCTCAGTTAAGGCAAAATCATCAAAACAAGCACTGAAAACATACTATACATACATCTTCTGACAGATTTCCCACCAACAATTTTGAGCTACTGATGCTGATATTGTGCTATGATAATGAAAACTGCCATTCAAGTTTGCCTAGGATGTTCCAACTTAATAGTACCTCGTAAATAAAATGTATTGATTCAAAAGCACTATTGGAATTTCATTTAAATGTGGTTTTCTGCACACAACAGATTTCTGAAATGATCAGATTTTTGATGTAAACCCACTTTTTGTTGACATCTACTGGACAAATAACAAATTAAAGCTCTGAAATACCCTAATTTTAAGCTCATGTTGTAGAATGGTGTGAAAGTTGATATTGCTTTTCTCCTCAGGTCTGTGTGGGGCATTTATTCCTTGCATCTTAGGTTGTAAGGTGGCACAGGATAACGGTGACAGCTGCTGTCTGCCCTTCCTACCTGGAGCTATGGTTGCACTGAGGACCAGCATCCGTGACCGATATCATATTAATGTAGGTGATGAAATAGAAAAAAAACTATCATTTTAATCCAAGCTGAAATCCATCATTCCATAACACTGCTGATAGAAGTCTAGCATTAAAGTAAGTATCTTATCTCTTTTTAAGGGATCTGTCTGTGATGACTGGGTGATCATGACCTGCTGCTCTTTCTGTGGACTCTGTCAGCTGGCCCGAGAACAGAAGGCGAGAGGCTAATTTGGAAACGAAGGGAATGGAATAAATGATTAAAAAAAAACTAAATTGATGGAAATGAATTTTTTAATATGATTTGCTTTTTTTCCCCAAACTGTCTCAAAGTTTTAAATGACCCTTCAACTATGAAGTGTTGGATTTGATTTCATTGAACCTTGCATTATATTTTATACAACAAACCAAACCCTTATTAACTTTTTACATCAATCAGTCTACCTAAATTTAGGGCAATATTATTATAAAAAAAATTCTGATAATTATCAGTATACAAATATGTATTTACAGAAAGATTTCTCTGCATGACAAATAAAAACAACAAGACTAGGCAAAACAGGACTAACTGCTTATTGTCTGATCTGACTTTGCTGGTTCCTCTTTCTATTCCTGGGAGGAGAAACTCCTATTTAAAAGAAAAGAATGCTTCTGATAGCTACAAAACTATCGGAAAGTATTTCATGAAGGTAAGGTACTAACTCGTATTCATTTTTAAATCCAGAGCTTGCTTTTTTAGCAAAGATATGAGAGCTTGTTTTACTTTGAATTCCTTCTCTGTTTGTTTTGCTCACCTCTCATTGTACTTTAAAGTCAGTTTCATTAACAAAAGAAGTTTGCATACAGGTACATGTTAACTTTAAGTAAGATGTTTAAGTATTGACTTCATTTGAATGTCTTTGATACAATCTAGTTTTATTTTTTAAATAAAATTGTTTAGAGAAGTCGCTGACTGAAGAATGGGGAAACTGTCAGTTAATATGAGTTATTAGAGAAGTGTGAGAAGAAAACAAAAATCTGCCTGCATTATAAAGTGCACAATATAAATGTGTACACCAAAATTTATTGAAAATTATTATTTTTTCAATTTCTCTGTGAATGTAGACTATTAAAAAAGAATTTTGGTGCATTTAAAAATGAACAGTTTGTTTAAACAGCTATATTCCTTTTTTTTTTACCATTAACATTTAACTTATTGGGGTGCGATATTTCCACAGTGATCTTATAAGATTAATTCCAGATTAATTTGATTTGGTACTGACTAATCTGAAATATATACACAAACAGGTTATTGTAGCTTTCATAACAGAATGCATGAATGTAAAAGGGATGTACTCATTATTACTCAATCATTTATTACTCACTGCACTTTCACTAACCTCTGTCATTTTATTAATTGGTAATACATGGAATAAATATTTAAAACATCTATTGATTGTTCTTGCTTTTATTTATTACATCCAAAGAATGAAATGTACAGTTCAAGTCAGAATTATTAGCCCCCCTGAATTATTAGCTCGCCTGTTTTTTTTCCCGATTTCTGTCTAACAGAGAGATTTTTTCAGCACATTTCTAAACATAAAAGTTTTAATAATTTATTTCTAATAACTGATTTATTTTACCTTTGTCATGATGACAGTAAATAATATTTTACTAGATATTTTCCAAGACACATCTTTACATCTTAAAGTGACATTTAAAGGCTTAACTAAGCTAATTAGGTTTATTAGGCAGGTTAGGGTAATTAGTCAAGTTATTGTATAGCGATGGTTTGTTCTGTAGACTAATGAAAAAATAAATTGCTTAAAGGGGCTAACAATTTTGTCCTTGAATTTTTTTTTAAAAAATTAAAAACTGCTTTTATTCTAGCCGAAATAAAACAAATAAGACTTTCTCCAGAAGAAAAAATACTATCAGACATGCTGTGAAAATTTACTTGCTCTGTTAATAATAATTTGGGAAATATATATAAAAAAAGTAGGGGCTAATAATTCTGACTTCAACTGTATATTTGATATTTCAGATTAAATTGATTATAACCTCAATCTTTTTTTCTCTTTAGCAGCTGGCTGTTAAACGCTCAATACTGGACTAGACGAAGCTCTCACAGAGTAAAAGGCTTTGTAATGTTGGACTCGGTTTATAGGAATTACATTTAAAAGTGGAACTGAAAAACATGGCACACTCTGCATGCCACAAACTGATGCTAAAGGCCACATTCATCTGTCTCATAAAACTTGCCTGCAGCTACAGTTTCAGAAGTTGCATAGAGATCCCAGATTCTAATCATACAATCTTTACATGTGTTAAAAGTTATGAACGAGACATAACTGCGATTGTGAGTGATGTATTTCCCACTGCATTAAATCTTACAATCTCTCACAGCAACATTGAATATGTGCAAAGTCAAAGCTTCGATCATCTGCCCAATCTGACTGCTCTGATACTGGACGCTAACCATATTACTAACATCGACAAGGATGCTTTTAATAATCTACACCATCTTCAGACTTTAAATTTGTCCTGCAACAACATATCATTTCTCCACCGGGATGTCTTCAGTGACCTCCATAACCTCACACAGCTGCTCCTGGGAAGCAATAAACTGACTAATCCTGATGAGTATCTGTTTTCTAGTCTTACAAACCTCAAGATTCTTGACTTACGCAGAAACCACTTGTATAACTTTTCGTCTGTGGTTGAAAGCATAACAAACCTGACTAGCTTGATAAAACTGGATCTTTCTTTTAACAAGCTGACCACCCTGCAACACTCCACCCATCTGCCAGAGTCACTTGCCTTGCTCTACCTCGGTGATAACAAACTAAAGACACTGGGATGTGACAAGTCTTTCCTTATGAATGTCAAAAAGCTGGACCTCTCAGACAACAAAAACCTGGCATCCAAATCTTTTCTTGGCCTGAAACTGGAGAATATAACGTACCTGCGGTTGCGCTTTACCAATATCTCCATTTTCAAACTTCTTACTTATCCCAATGTGCATCCGTGGCACATTGACTTTTCTGGCCTGAAGCTGAAGAACTCCCATGCACTGAGTTCACTGTGTGTCCTTATGCGAAATCACAGCCATGAACATTTACAAATACCTAAAATGTTGCTCCAGAGCAATTCTATAGGAGCTCTAAAAAATAATACATTTCGTTATTGCCCCAGTATCACACGGGAAATGGACCTCTCGCGGAATGAGCTGAAAAGCGCTGGCTGCTTGCAGTTTCTCCACAATCAGACTCAACTGAAAAGTCTCAAGATGGAGCATAATCATCTGACCAAGCTAACGTCCTGCAACAAAGCAGAAATACATAATAGCCTGACAAACCTGAGCTATCGATACAACCGTATTCTACAGATCAGTGGTTATGCCTTCAGCAATACACCTAAATTAGAAATACTGGAGCTGAACATCAACATAATTGCTTATATGGACCATAAAGCCTTAAGTGGGCTCAAAGATCTCAAGACTCTTCGTCTCGACAACAACCTTTTGAGTGATATCTACAATGATAGCTTTGAAGATCTCACAAACCTGAAGACTCTGAACCTGCGCAACAATGAAATAGCTGTCATTTTCAACTACACCTTTCAGAATCTGTCTAAACTGGATATTTTAGATTTAGGCGGGAACAAGATCTCACAGCTGAAACCGCATGCTTTTGATGGGCTCTATAGCTTGACCAATCTGTATCTAGACAGGAATCATCTTAAAATGATTGATGTCGTACTCTTTGGGAAACTCTCTGGCACCCTGCAGGTGCTGGATTTGCAGGGTAACATGATTGTGTATTTTACAGAACATACACACTCGCCGTTTAAAAATATGTCAAGACTTTACGACCTGAAACTTAATGGACAGCAACCTAACGGCATTAACTTGTTGCCTCGTGCATTTTTCCGTGGTCTAACTTCTCTGAAAAGTCTGTATCTCACCAACAATCATATTATTGGATTTGGTGATGAAACGTTCGACGACCTGAAAAACTTGGATTATCTAACACTGGACAACTCGTGTGCTGGGGTTGCCCAGCTCCAATCTGGAATCTTCAAAAGCCTTCAAAAACTAAGGACGTTATCTCTTGAGAACATGGGTATTAAATCGTTTTCAAAAGATGTTTTCGGAAATCTCACAGGATTGAAGACGCTACATTTGAATCGCAATCCCATGATGTCTTTGGACATTAGTTTACTGGACAATCTGACTAATCTAACGTACATCGACATGCGCAGTTGTCCTCTGAGTTGTGGCTGCCATAACAGTGATCTACAGAACTGGACCATAATGAATAAAAGGCTCCAATTTCCACATCTTTTCAATATCACATGCCCAGACCACCCAGGCTCATATTTTCACAACTTTGACACTAAAGTGTGTTATTTGGACATAGAGCTTTACTTTTTTTCCTCAACCTCCACATTGACAATTTTATTAACCTTAATACCACTTCTCTATGTCAAACTTTACTGGAAATTCAAGTATGGCTACTATGTGTTTCGATCGTGGTTTGGAGAACAGTGGCGTCGCTTACGGGACCAGGAGGAAAAATACAATTACGATGCCTTTGTTTCTTACAATTCAGCAGATGAAGACTGGGTAATGGAACAGTTACTGCCGAACCTTGAGGGTTCTTCATTTCGCCTGTGCCTCCACCACAGAGATTTTGAGCTAGGCCGTGATATTGTCGACAACATTGTAGCTGCCGTCTATGGCAGCCGTAAAACAATCTGTGTGGTCAGTCAGAGCTTCCTTCGCAGTGAATGGTGCTCACTAGAGATTCAATTGGCTAGCTATCGCCTCTTCCAGGAAATGCAAGATGTGCTTTTGCTTGTCTTTCTGGAGCCTATCCCTGAACGTCAACTGTCCGCTTATCATCGCATGAGGAAAGTCATGCTCAAAAAGACCTATCTTCAGTGGCCTGGGTCAAACTGTTCTGATCCAAACAGTGCAAAAGAACTGTTCTGGAATCAGTTAAAGAGAGCTCTAAGAAGCAGCAACTCTGGAAGCCAAGATGAGCAGAAGATGGATGACAATGAACTGAGGAGAAAAGAGAAAGTGTGTGCAGACAAGGAAGAAAGAGAATATTTTGTAAATCAGACACCAACAGAAGATGAAATATATTACCTGATGCCCTAATTACACTGACATACAGTTGAAGTTTTTTTTTTTTTTCTTTTTTAAATATTTCCTAAATGATGTTTAACAGAGCAAGGAAATTTTCACAGTATGTCTAATTTTTTTTCTGGAGAAAATCTTATTTGTTTTATTTCGGCTACAATAAAAGCAATTTAAATTTTTTAAAAAGGCAATTTAAAGTCAAAATTATTAGCCCCTTTAAGCTATATATTTTTTTCGAGTCTACAGAACAAACCATCATTATACAATAACCTGCCTAATTACCCTAACCTGCTTAGTTAACCTAATTAAGCCTTTAAATGTCACTTTAAGCTGTATAGAAGTGTCTTGAAAATTATCTAAAATATTATTTACTGTCATCATGGCAAAGATAAAATAAATCAGATATTAGAAATGAGTTATTAAAACTATTATGTTTAGAAATGTGTAGAAAAAAATCTTCTCTCCTTTAAACAGAAATTGAGGAAAAAATTAAACGGGGGCTAATAATTCGGGGGGGGGGGGGGGGGGGGGGGGGCTAATAACTCTGACTTACAACTGTGTATATTATCAAATTTAATCGGTGAGATATAACCTAATTAACTGACTTCAATGAATTTGAGAGCCTGTAAATGATGCATATATATATATATATATATATATATATATATATATATATATATATATATATATATATATATATATATATATATATATATATATAAATATATAATGAATATGTTTGTAGCTTGTTTTATGTTTAGCATACAGATTACTGATTATTTGAACAACTATTTCAGAAAAGTGGTGCATGTTTTTCTTTTTTTTTAAAGTCTTTTACAAAGATGAACAAAATAATAATCTGAGAAAAAAACACAGGAGGAAAATCTGGAACTCTGAAACTTTGAATGTTTATTATGCTTTTGTGGTGAAAATGTAAAAAAGCTGTATAATGCAAAAAGTAAATAATTACATAAACTGAAAAATAAGAAATTCAACATGTAAAATAGCTGTTTGTTTACTTTTGAGTGTTACACGGTTTAATGTTTACATTTTAGTTTACTACAAATAATTTTACTAATGTAAACTGTGAAATTGGTTTTATGTAAATATTTCAATTTTGTACTGCCTTATTAAAGGAATATCTCAAAATCATGTGACCTTTTTCATAGAATACTGAACTTGAGTGGAAATAATAAAAGTCCAGTCTAAAATGTTTTTTAAAGAAATCTGACTAAACTAATACCTAAAAGAAATAAATATACAAGCAGCATCATTTGTTGAAGATAACACATTTACCCCATATAACCAGGAGAATCAACAAAAACTAGGTTTCAATATCTGTGCAGCACAAAGAGTGATTAGATATTAAGAAGTTAATCACTCTCACTACCTTTTAAGTAGTATACACTAAAGAAATCATGACTATACATAATGTGAGCACGCTGAACTCCCAAACTGAAATCACATGTTGAGGTGATGGTTTTTTTGAAACAATAAAAAAGTTAAATCGGTATTGCGAAGGGGAAGAAATTATTCACACATAAACAGTAAGCAAATAATTGCTTAGCTGAACCAGCGATGATTCACTCTGGGCAATACTCTTCTCTAAAGGAAAAGGTGAGGGTAAAATAATGTGTTTGACTGTGACCTGGGACAAAAGGTCATATTAGGATATTCTGACCTGCGTTGGGTGTTAGATGGATGTGGACAGCGAAAAAAAGGCTCATACTGAAATCCCTCTGTGAGATAAGATGCTGAGAACGAGAAAGGAGCCGTTTTTTTTCTTTCATCCTGAGTTTGTGACTGATGGGACCAGAAGCTGGATCCTCCAAAAGAAGCTTCTTCTGGTCTTTGTTTCCTGCTGTCATAAAATTGATATGAATCAATATTAACATCTGTGTCTTCTCTAAACTGCTGAGAGATTTTGGACAGATCTAAATCCACATTAGTCCAACTCTCCCCTCTGCTGCGGAACTGCTGCTGGCAATGTGGATTTACAAGATGATCCTCCCAGGTTGGGGCTTTGAGTATAGGTGCGGCATGCTGAGTGAAGGTCTGGTCCTGGTTGAAAAGCTGTCCGATGGGATGCTGATGAGGTCTGAAGCTATCCTGAGACAACGTAGCTGGTCTCCACTGGTCAAACTGCAAAAGACAGACCATCAAATCAAACTCATCAAAATCACATGCAAAAATTGACAAGCAAATTACAGGGTTATGGATGTCAGATTTGCAGTAAAAAGTAGAAACATAAATTCACATAGAATGTACTGTAGTTAATAGATCAGAAAAACATCAATCTGTAAACCTGTTTTTTTATTTTTTATTTTAGCATGCATTGTGGATGTGATTAAAAAAGGTATGCATAGTATAATCTTTTTTATTATAAGTATAAAATATACTTTGTGAATTGAACTGCGCAACCCAATAGAAACAATTCCAATCAAAGGGATAAGAGTCGTCTTTGTGTGGAACAAAAGTATTTTTCATTATTTTCATTATTTTTTTATAATCAAATATTTTTTAAATTATTATTATTATTTTACATTTTTGCATTTATGAAAAAAAGCTTTGTTATTCATTATTCATATTCATATTATTGTTTGTCATTTTTTCCTCGATCTTCATGATGAGTTCCATCATGTGGGTGACAGAGGACAACAGGGGCACATCATTGCTCAGTTATATTGCAGGTGCTGCCGTTAATTCATGGGTCAACTAATCAAAAAATAGACTGCATATTTACTTATGGGTGGATAAGATCAATCATTGGTTATTCAAACTTTAACTACTTTCTCTAAAATATTAAAGTGTTTTAAGCTATTTTATTTCACAGACTGGCACAAATATGCATTCTCACTAGTTTCTAAGTTCTCTCAGCCTCTGACTGACTTTGTTTTTTCGAGGTAATCTGGAAACGTGTTTAGTGCTGCTAATACACTGTAAAAGCCTATCTTGCTTATTCAAATTACTTGATTAAACTAAAATTCACCGGCAATGGATGATTTTGTCATTAAAAATGAAATGTTTGATATAAGTTTAGCTAAAACTGTGAATATTTTACTTTAATTTTATTTAGGCTAGATTTTATTTTATTAAACAAAGCAATTTGGGATTTGGGATTGGGAAACCACTGAAGCATATAGCGGACTGGTTTTATAGCACTTCACCTCTGATTTTATTCAATATTCTTGTTTATCTAGTAGATAACTGATGAACAAAAATACATTAAAATTAAGATACAAATTATACCAAATGAAATTTGTTTCAAAAAGATATTTTGATAGTTTGTGCCTATCCACTACTCAACTGTGCGGGTGGATGATTTGTTTCATGCCGTGGAAAAAAAGGATTTAATAAATGCTTCTCTGGTATTGTTGTATCACAAACCTCTGTCAAATATTTGCTATTTTTTGTAATATGTCATTATTTTGTCATGAGCATCTGATTTTTCCTTGATGCTGATGTGCTTTTACTTACCCCATCTCATTCGCAGTAATTTTACGTGAGGGAGTGTTTAATAAGCAACTCATAGCTGGGAAATTTACATTTTGATTTAATAGAAAATATCCTATTATTAAAAAGGAAATATACGTTTGATTCTATTAAAGTCATAATGAATGCCCTTAAATAATGTAGCCTAGTTATCAGCAAGCATGAGTGTTTATTAAGATTGACATAAGATTTAAAAAAAAAAAAAAAAAAACATTGAAATGAGTAAGATAAGAAATGTTGTTATAGCAAAACTTGTGACTGCTTTGGAAAATAAAGCTCATCATAGACGTCAAAGGATGACTGATCATGAAGGAACATGTAGTCTGGAACATTTGTTATCCAGAACAAGTCAAGATTTTATCATGACAAAATCTCATACTCTGGTAGTGACTTTCGTAACTGACAATAAAAATCGTGTGATCTGACTGGGGCTTTAGTTATTTGGTTTAGAGAAATTAAACAGTGACAGATTACATTGACTCACCATGTCCACTGGTGACTGTTGTGGTTCTTTTAGGAAGAATTGAGGAGAAGAGATCTTCCACTCTTGTACCTTACGTTTCTTGGTGGACATTCCCCTGTCCTGATGTCGAGGAACTTGATCTGGCAAGAAATCTTGCCGTACAGCTCTATCTAGGATGTACACAACAATATTTCAATAACACTTTAATAACATTTTCCCCTCCAAATCTAACAATGCTATTCATGCATGCTTTGATTTGAGCATTAGAGTTAAAGGGAAGTTTTTTTTACTATATAAACCAAAATGATTAAAATAAGATTATGAAACTTGTTTAAGCTGCATTTCAAAAGTATCTATCCTTTAGGTGGGACACTCTCAGTTGTCACTTTCCACAAAGTTAAAGTCCCATACCTGTCCAAATCGGCATGTTGCTGATGTTACACCTATCCTCAATCTCCACTGCATGGCTAAATGGTGAACGGTCTTCACATGTCTGTTCTGTGCTTGGCTGAGAGGCTTTTTGCTTTCCATTCAAGGATGAACGTAGCCTGTGCAGGTTGTGATTTAATTGGAAGCTATGTCTTTTTTGTAAAGTCTGCATTAGTGTCTTCTTACACTTATCCAGTAGGGAGCGCTGATAGCTTGGCACATAGAGATCTGAAGCTGAGCACAAACGTTTAGCCAGCCTTTTTACTTCTTCTCTACAAGACACTGACATTTCCTCCTCCTGCTGCTTGTCATTGTTTGCTAATTGTCCAGTCCCAGAGCTCAGTCCAGATAGAGAGGTTAAAGGCTGCAAATCTTCCATGTTCGGGAATTCCACTATTGTAGAGATTTCTTCAAATCTCTGAATATGTTTTCCATCATCAGGGGTCTTGAGAGTGCTTGTTTGTGAAATATTAAAGTTGTGCTTGTTAGTTTCAATTGGAGTAGAGCATAACTGGGGAATAGGTTCATTTTCTGAGGATGACAAAATCACTTGTTCAGGTTCTTTGGCACTATTTTGCTTTGTTTTGCTATTATTACCTTCCATTTCAGTTCTGGTGTTTCTTTTATGCTTCCCATCCACACTTGATGATGCTAGAGGAACTGAGGCATCTAACTTTCTATTAGTCTGAAAACCCCTTTTCCCAGTGAGCTCTTTTCTTGAAATTTTCCTCTTCACTTGTGGGGTTGAATTGTTCTCTGGTCCTGGTACATCATTGAGAATGCAGTCCTGGT